GCTGTATCACAGCAAGAAACTAATTTCTTCTCTTCTTGTTCTTCTTTTTAGAGAAATTTTTGTTATAAGGAGCTCACTGGAGAGACAGAAAGTGATAAATCACCCCCCACCACCACCAAGGGGAATGGCCACACTGCAATCCCTTCTCCATTCTCCTCCTGGGATTTTAGGCATGTATACACACACACTCAGTGTGAGTTTCAAGCCACCAGGTCTGGGACTTGAGCCCCGGTTGGCCATGTGGGAGTCCAGCAATGTAACCACTACACTATCTGCTGGTCCCAACAATTAATTTCTTTAGGCCTTATTTTTCTCAAGTATGAACTGAATATAAGAATAAATGTATGGGGGAACCAGCAGTTAGCATAATGGCTATGTCGCTGGACTCCCATGTAGTTGACTATAGTTCAAGCCCTGGACCTGGTGACTTAAACTCACACTGGGCTAGTGTGAGTGCTTGCCCAAGATCCCGAGAGGAGAATGGAGGTGAAGGGATTGCAGCATGGCCATCCCCCCTGGGGGGCGGGATGCGATTTCTCACTTTCTGTCTCTCTGTCTCTCTCTGTCTTTCTGGCAAGCTCACACACCCTATAGCAAAAATCTCTCTGGGAAAAAAAAAGAATAAATGTATGGGAGCTAGCAAGTGATATCAAGATTAAGGCAGCTGGACCTCACATGGCCAACTGCACAGTTTGAGTTTCCAACCCTGTGACTTGGAAAACACCTGTGAGAGCATGTCCAAAATCCCAAGAGGAGAATGGAGGAGAAGAGATTGTGGTATGGTCATTTGCACTTGAGGGTGATTTTGATTTCTCACTTTTCAACTTTCTCTTTCTCTCTGTCTCTCTCCACTGAGCGCACACACTCTGTAGCAAAAACTGAAGACAAAAAAGGAATAAATTGATAGGGTGTTGTAGTGGTTGTAATGATTAATGTTATAGTACTCAATCTGATACATAGAAAGGCATTAACACCAGCTAGTTTTTAATGGTGGCCTTTCGTGAATATCTATGTTGTATATTTTTAGCAGAAAGGGAGTGAGCTCTTTCAGGACAGATTGCACAGGAAGTTGGGAAAGCTGGCCTCAGACCCTCTAGTTTTTTCTGTGGTCCAAGAATGGGGCACTTAAAAATGAGTGAGGCAATGCTTATAAATCAATGCACAGTGATTCATACACAGTAAACAATTACTCTTACCGACACTACTAGTATTCTTATTGTTTGTTCATTTTGTCATTGCTCTGAGAGAAGTATTGTTCTAGATATTATAAGGAAGAAAAAGACCTTCCCCACAAGACCTTTTCCATTGCAGAGAGGTGCTTTGTTTTTTCAA